TGACAGCGGGATAAGTCGATTTTGGGTGACATGATGCTCTGTAACCTGGATGTGAAAGAATTTTATAGAATGTTAGAGTGTTTGGTCCCTTTCACTTTTTTATCTCTATCAGTGGTTCTCAACCGGGAAGGGGGGCGATTTGCCCCCCACGAGACATTTGGCAGTATATGGGGACATTTTTGTTCATCACAACTGTGTGTGTGTGTGGGGGTGCTACTTACATCTAGTGGGTAGAGACCAGGGACACTGCTAAATATCCTACAATGCACAGAACAGCCCCCACAACAGAATGTTCTGACTCCAAATGGCAATAGTGCCAACGTTGAGAAACTCTGATCTGTATTAATTCCTTGGTGATCTCATGTAATTCTGGCTTTAAATACAGTTTATATGCAGATGATTTTCAAATCCGTATTTCCAATTCAGACTTTTTGTTCCCAACTCAGACTTGAATATCCACTCAACATCCCCACTTGGATGTCCAATAGACATCTCAAACTTCTGCCTGCAGCCTTTCCCATCTCAAGGAGTGGTAACTGTTATTCCAATTGCTCAGGGCAAAAACCTTGGTGATTATTTCTTTCACACACTACATCCAGTCCATAAGGAAATCATGTGGGCGTTACCTTTAAAATATATTCAAAATCCAACTACTTCTTGACATCTCTCTTGCTATCAGCTGGTACAAGTTGCCTTTATCTCTCACCTAGATTACTTCAGTAGCCTCCTCATTGACCTCTTTATTTATAACCTTACAGTTTATAGTCAACACAGTAACCAGAATATTCCTTTTAAAACAGAAATGAGATTATATCACTTCTCTGCTCAAAATTGTCCAGGGGCTCATCATTTTACTCAGAGTAAAACTCAGTCCTTATGGTGGCCTCCATGGCTCTCCATACGACCCCTCATTCTCTCTCTAACCTTGTTTCCTACTGCTGTCTCACTTGCATACTAAATTGTAGCCACACTCACTTCCTTGTTCTTCGAACATGTGGACACATCTCCTGCTTTAGGGCCTTGGCCCTGGCTATTCTCTCTGCCTGGAATACTCTTCCTGTAGGTAACTGCGTGGTTAATAATCACCTTTAGGGTTCTGTTCACATGTCACCTTCCATATGAGGCTTGTTCTGATTACCCTATTTAAAGTATTTCTTTTTGGGGCGCCTGGGTGGCTCAGTCGGTTAAGCATCTGCCGTCGGCTCAGGTCATGATCCCAGAGTCCTGGAATCGAGCCCCGTATCGGGCTCCCTGCTGAGCAGGGAATCTGCTTCTCCCTTTCTCTGTCCTCCCCCCACCACTCGTGCACTACGCCTCACCTCTCTCTCTCTCTTTCTCTCAAATAAGTAAAATCTTAAAAAAAATAAAGTATTTCTTTTTAAGATTTATTTATTATTATTTTCAAAGATTTTATTAGAGAGAAAGAGAGCTCGCGCACATGCATGTGCCAGGGGGTGGGGTGCCCATCACAGGGCTCAGTCTCATGACCTAAGCTGAAACCAAGAGTTGGTCCCGCTTAACCAACTGCACCATCCAGGCTCCTCACCCTATTTAAAGTTTTGCACAACCCCTCCCTTACATTTTTCTCTGGATCGCCCTTGCTCTGCTTTACTTTCTTGTTTTGCATAGCACTTATCATTTTTAACATAGAATATATTTTGCTTATGTTATGGTGTTTCTCATCTTTCTCTTTACTAAGCATGTGAATACCACAAGGGGGGGATTTTTGTCTATTTTGCTACTTAATGTATATCAGTAGCCTTCAGTAGTGTCTGACATTAGTAGGCACTTTGTAAATATTTGTGAATAAATAAATGAAGCTTAAAGGACTAGAATTTTTGATGAGGTCAAAGAAGTAGTTGATTAAAAGTAAGGAAGTAGAAGTTAAGGATAGGAGTCTGTGGTCAGGAGTAGACTCTGGGAATACAGCCATAAACAAAGCAGTGGAAGAGCTCCTGTCCTTATGGAGCTTGCCTCCTAGCTGGGGAAATGCATAATAAACCACGCAAAATAAATAAAGTCTATATTATGTTTGATGGTTGTACCTGCTAAGGAAAAGGGTGAGTGACATTTTAGATAGGTTGGCCAGGAAAGTCTTGCTGAGAAGATGCCATTGGAGTGAAGATCTGAAGAAAGGGAGAGAAGGAACCATGAAGTTACAAGGGTAAGAATATTGCAGGCGGAGGGGTAATGCAGATAATGCTCACACTGGTCTCAGAGTCTGTGGGATATGAGAAGAAATAGCCTTTAAGGAGAAGCATATTGTAGGTAGGTAGGCAAGGAGAGGGGTTAAAAGAGTGTTCTTTACTACCATATATATATATATATATATATATATTTTTTTTTTTTTTTTAAAGTAAGCTCTCCGCCCAGCGTCGGGCTTGAACTCAGTACCCCAAGATCAGGAGTTGTATGCTCTACTGACTGGGCCACCCAGGCGCCCCTACAAATTATATCTTTGTATTCAGGAAGTCATTCAAGAACTGATGATGACATTTAAAACATTCTTTAAAAATATTTTTAAAAGCTACTTTATATCATTACCTTTTGTGGACAGCAGAGGGAACCATTTTGCCAATTATCTAAATCTAGAGGTAGCTTGTTTTGAGATAAAACCCTTTCATTTATTTATGATAAAGGAGCAGTTCCTTTGGTTTTTTAAAAATCAATATGTTTTCTTCCAGAGCTCTGTTAATATATGTTTGTATGGCTATACTGATGTAAGTAACTTTGATAGAGTATTCATGAAATTTAGAAGAATTAATAAACAGTATGAAAACCTTAGAGAATAAATTTCATTTTGTCCATAATCATTGTTTTTTTTTACTTATCAGCTAATAGTGTTATTGATGACATACTGTTACATTTGGGTTATCTTTTTAGATTATAGTTTGAATCTTAAAATTTTCTTTCTTGCTCATTCCTGTCTTAATTCTGTTTTTATAGCAGAAAATGTGTCTTGCCATTTGCATTTAGTTTGCTTTGCTACAGAAAATCTTATTCTTATTTGGTTATATGATAGCGTAAGGTCCTAGGAACCTTATGTGTGCCTTGAATATTTCCTCCATTCTGTGAATGTGCAGCACAAGTTTATCACCTGCCAGAGTTGTCTTTTGTTAAATCCACCTCCCTTTTCTCCTTCCATATGTAGTAACAATTAGTTGACCTTTAGCCCCTTCATGAAGTGGCAGTAACTCTGCTTCTTACCAGCTACTTGTTTATCAAATAACTGTGATCTTTGATCAAGCTAACTTTTGCCCTGCTGACTTTTGGGTGTTTTTTAAGAACCAAATTAAGATTATGTAATTAAAAGGACTTTGAAGACTAATAATTAAGGAACTTGAAGACTTCAAGGGTATAAAGGATATCACTGGAAAAGTACAGGACAGTGAGATGGGTTTAAAGGGGGCATTTTAAAAAAGGAATCAACCTACCAGTATGTTTTTAAATTGTATCTTGGTGAAAGAATTAGTTGAAAGCTTGTTTACTGTTCTTCAGGTGATTACTTGGTTAATTCATTTTTTTTTTTTTTAATATCTTGCTGTTGAGTACTCTTCTGGAAATAACAATATGAATAAGATATATCTGCTTTTGAGAATCCCTGAGTCTCAGAGGAGTAAACACATTTCAAGAGTACTTTTGCAGTTGAAGGCAAGAGCACCTCCTTTGAGGGGGTGTAGGAGTGGGCAGGAGTTGGCCAGGGAAGCCTTAAAGAGACCAGGAGAGCTGGGCTTTGAAATGGATCAGTTGGAGTTGTCCAAGCAGGTGAATGTGGTAGGATGTTCCAAGGAGTTGTCTGCCTACGTTTAAAATCTAGCTCTGATACTTCTGGTATATTCTTAGGCAATTGTGCATCAGTTTTATCATCTATAAAATGGGGATAATAATTGCATTGACGTTATAGGGTTGTGAGAATTAAATATATGGAAAACATTTAGAACAGTGCCTGGCTTATACTAAATGATTGAAGGTTAACTTTTAATGTTATCCTAGGAATCTAAGGGATAGAATTGGCAGGTCTTGGTATTTGAATGTGAGTGTTACGGGAAAAGGATGTGTCTAGCGCAGTGGTTCTCAGCCTTGGATGCACGTTAGGATCACCTGGGGAATTAAAATGTGCTGATGCCTGGGCCCCACCCCAGACCAATTAAATCAATATCTTGGGGGTGTGGCCCCAAGTGATTTTGATGTTTAGTTGGGCTGATAACCCCTGGCCTAGGACTATTTCCAGGCTTCTGGCTTGGATGACTGGGCTGATGATGGTGCCATTTACCAGGATAAAAAGCAAATTGAAAGAAAAGGTGTTGCTTTTAACATAGCACTTAGGCTTTTAAGAATCCTGTTAGCTATTTGCATGCTTTAAATGTTTATAACTAAAGGATGCTTTTTTAATATTGGTTTCTGGATTGGATATCATAAATGACCCCAGACTATATGACTTTCATGTTCTTGTGTCTGCATTTTATACTTGGATGTGGTTTCTTTTTTTGTTTTTTTAGATAATATCTGCTGCTGTTCATTCTCTTTGGACTTACCAGCTTTCAACATACCCTATAATTTATACATTTATTAGGTTTGTTTGATTCCCTCTTTTAAAATTTCTTGTTGATTGCTTCTCTCTTTTTCCCCTACCCACACCCAACCACTACTACCACCCACCACTAGAAGGTAAGCTCCACCAGAGCCGGGATCTTTGTTATTTTTTGTTCACTAATTAATCCTAAGTTTCTGGTACATACTATATAACACATATTTCTTAGATGAATGAATGAATTACTATCAGTCTGGTTTTGTTTCCATCCAGGTTCTTGGCTCTGCTCCAAAGTAAGTGAGAGATGTAGAGCAGAGTTTCAGAGAGACCTTTGAGAACTGTTTTCTTCCTGTATTTAATTGATAAACATGGAGTTTAATTTTTGGTTGCTAAAAGTTGTGAGATACAGTTGAACAAATGCTTCTTATTACATCTTAACAAAAAACTTTTTTTAAAAATGTTTTGGTAGGAACCACCAAAGCCACCTCTAAATAATTTTAAAGTGGGAATGAAACTTGAAGCTATAGACAAAAAGAACCCTTATCTGATCTGCCCTGCAACTATTGGAGATGTTAGAGGAGATGAAGTGTATATCACATTTGATGGCTGGAGTGGAGCTTTTGATTACTGGTGCAAGTACGATTGTCGAGATATTTTCCCAGTTGGGTGGTGTCGCCTGACAGGAGATGTATTACAACCACCTGGAACTCATGGTAAGATAATAAGTAACTACATGTTCTTTTATTTTATTAAAGTTAGATCTAACTGCTATTGGCACTGAGGTTAGGACTTCTTGCTCAGCTGGAACAGCAGACAGAACAGGGAGGGCACTGCCTAGGCTAGAGAACTGAAGGTAGGAGATGGCAAGGATTAGAATTTTTGAGGGCCAACTCAGCATCATAATCTGAATTGACAGTCCACATTGGAGAATATGGGCAAGCTACAAGTCACACTTTGACCATTGAAGCCTTGTTACTGAAAGCATTTTGGGGTGCTTAGCTGTCTTTATAGTTGATATTCAATTTAAAATTATACATAGTATTCCATTGTTTATATCTCAAAGGTAGTTTTTAAATGGTAAGGTGTAACAACTGTTATATATGTATTTTGCACAATTTTGGTCAGTTTTTTCAAGTTAAATTGATAGTTTGATAGTCTTAAGTAAAATCTACCTGTCAGTGAAAATTTTACTTTATTTTTAAAAAAGATTTATTTATTTGAGAGAGAGAGAGAGAACGTGCGCATGAGTTGGGGAAGGGGCTGAGGGAGAGAATCTCAAGCAGACTCCCCGCTGAGCGCTGAGCCCAACATGGGACTCGATTTCATAACCCTGAGACCATGACCTGAGCTGAAGTCAAGAGTCGGATGCTTAACCAACTGAGCCACCCAGGCACCCGTGTCAGTGAAAATTTTAGACTGTGGAAACCATCATAGATTAACATATTATAGTCAGGTGTTTATCAGTTGTAATGCTGTGCTTCCTAAGTTGAATTCTATGATCATCTAGATATTTTCTTTTCAGAAAAAAATCACCAAAATATTGTAGTTCCTTAGGTGTCTTCCAAGAGCTTACACATGCCTAACCCGGTCTTCTGTGATGGAATAACTGCTGAAATTTAAGTGGGATCTAAGCATAGAACCTTATCATTGGCTTAAGTTAAATATAAACTTATTAGTAGAATCAAATGTAAACATACTTAAAATTTATCCAACTAAAATTTGTACCAGAAAAAAAGATGAGTGTAGGAAATGTGTAAGTAATGTGTGTAGGATGAGAGCAGTGGCTAGATAAAAGCATACAGCCATATTCTTGTAACTGCTGGTAGAATCTTTTTTGATTTGGGACTTTAACACATCCCATTATATTACAATACTACATACCGTGATGTCCTTTTTATTAGGGACGTATTTTACCAGTTCCCTGCTGCCATAATTCTAGGAAGTAGATATTAATGGCCGGTTTTTGTAAAATTTAATATGCTCCAGATCTATGTGTGTATGATACTAAGGCAGTCTCTGCCCTCAAGGAGTTAGAGGGATAAATGGAAGAATAGACTTTTAAAAAAAATATGTATGTATACAGAATCAGCGGTGCAAAAATAGAGACGTGTGCTACATATGAAAGTGGCCTAAAGACATCCAGTTTGTTTAGGCTGGAGGGAAAAGCGGTTGGGTAAAGGAATGCTTAACAGAAAGACACATGATGTGAGTATTAAGAGAGAAGGAGTTTGCCAGGCAGAATAGAGATAAAGGTAGGGTGGACACTTCACAAAGGTACGAAATCGCACAGTTTACCCTGAAAACGAGGTAGTTCAGTTTGGAACATGGTGACTTTGGAATGCATGACCGAGAATGCTGTTGTTTTACACTATCTGGTATCCCTTTTTTTCTTAGTAACACAATTCAGCTGCCTACCATGAAGACTGTATTTACAGCCTCCCTACAGTTATATATGGTCATGAGACTAAGTCCTGGTCAATGGGATAAAAGTAGAGCTAGTATGTTCTACTTATAGGAAGTATATTAGAGATGAATGTACCTTTCTGTCTTCCTTCTTCCTGCTTCTATCCTGATGCTAGTTATGTGCTTGTTTTGGGTGGAGTTCCATCTTGAATCATGAAATGGGGACCATATTCTAGGCATAGTGGAGTGAAAAGCAGAAATGAGCCAAAATCCCTGAGAATTTTGTGGAGTAGAATTTTCATACTGGCCTGTTCCAGACTGTTATTTGAGAGAAATAAACTGTGTTATATAAACCACTATTCTTTTAGGTTTTTCTGTTACTGTTAGCTGAACTTAATCCTAACTAATTCAGGGTAACTTTAAGGTACCAGGTGAACCTGTCCATTGGATAGCTGCACATGCAGGTATGGAGCCCAGAAGAGATAGGTCTTAGTTGACGAAGCAGGTTTGAGAGCCATCGTGCTCATTCAAATAAATATTCTGTGTGTCAGGTAGGATTATAGGTGCTGTCTGGGGGAGGGGTAGATGGTAGGCAGCTTACACATCCAATTGATAGCAGTAAGTGGGGGAAGTTTTGGTTGTGGCTTTAATTTTGCATGTGTAACAGGTAGAAGTAGAAAAGGACCAAGGACAGAACCTGGTGGGTGAATATTTAAAACAATTCTCACACTTGAATCACCTGGGGGGGAGGGGGGACTTTTTCAAAAGCTGATGCCCTGGAACTCATACCCAGGGGTTCTGAATCAGTAGGTCTGGAGTGGGGCTCTGGTGTTTCCATTGCACATGGTTTGAGGCCTAGACTTTGAGAAACACAAAAATAAGGGATGAGTAGAAGATAGAAATCAAGAGAAAAAGTATACGTAAATGTAGGAGAGTTACTAGGTTGGTTTCCCTAACAACAGGAGATGAAAGATAGTACAGCATAAGCGTTGAGAGGAGAGCTCATTAGTGGTCTTAAGTAAAAGCGTGGTTACTAGACTACTTTGAAAAGGCAGATTTAGAGAGCTGAATAAATAGATGCAGGGCATTTTTTTAAAAATGTGGTTTCATGGGTACTTTCTGAGATCCGCCTCCTCTGTCCTTTACCCCACTAGACATTTCACAAGTTAAAGTGAAATTTAGAAACCTTACTTCAATTTATATGCCTTTACCCTCCATCATTCATAATATTTTCTTAAATATTTACATTCATTGAGAATGAATTAGACAGTGTTATAGTTTTTGTTCAACTGTTAAACATAATTAGAAAATTCAGGAGAAGTATTTACTCACATTTTTGCCATTTCAGTTCTTTCTTCCTGATTTTCAGATTCCTTTTATAATCATTTCCTCTCTGTTTTAGAGAACTTCTTTTAGTCATTCTGGGAATTCTGGGAAAAGTATGGTTAAAGATTGTTAGTTGATACTCACCCAAAGATATTTCATAAATGATTCATTTTTACTTTTTTCCAAGCATTGCTTATTCATTGCATAGATTAATAGGGTTATTGCTGTACTTATTACACAAGGTGAAATACTCTTTGAGTAGAGAAAACATTTACTTTAGCCAATAATCATTCATTAAATGACAGCTATAATATAAAAATATCATTTCTTAGATGTAATGTGATATATTCTAAAATCATAATACTTTAAAATTATTTTTCATTATTTTAAGTTTTTCTCTAATAGAAAAAGTAATAAATTCTCAAAGCAGAAAATTCAGGAAAGCATGCAGAGATAACCATGACAAATAGTTTGATCTGTACTTGGCTTTGTACTGCTTTTTCTTCTTTTTGTCTTATACGTATAGCTTTAGAACACACGTGGCCAAATCAAAAGAGAAATGTTGAAATAAGTTGTGGTATAGTTATTCTTTAGAATAATATAGAACGATTTAGAAGAATGAGAGGATTCCTGCTTACTAAGAAAGCTTTCCAAGATGTGTTAAGTGAAAAAAGCAACCCCTCAAAATACATAGAGTATAATACTATTAAGTCAAAACAATGTATTTCTATGTGTAACTATAGATGTATGTATATTCATACATAGAGAAGATCTGAAAGGCTATATATCAAATCTTTAGTAGTAATTATATCTGGGAAGGGGTGTTGAGTGGTAAAGGGAACTTTTGCTTTTATCTGTGGCTTTTTTTTTAATTTTAAATTTTTAATTAATTTATTTTTTTAAGATTCTATTATTTATTTGCCAGAGACAGAGAGAGAGAGAGAGAACGAGAGAGAGAAAGCAAGCACAAGCAGGGGAAACGGCAGGCAGAGGGAGAAACAGGCTCCTCGCTGAGCAAGGAGCCCAATGCGGGGCTCCATCCCAGGACCCTGGGATTATGACCTGAGCCGAAGGCAGACGCTTAACGACTGAGCCACCCAGGTGTCCCTGTGGCTTTTTTTTTTTTTTAAACAAGAACATGCTGTAGGTTACATTTGTACTTTAAAATAATTAATAATTTTATTTTGAAAAGGGATTATTCTGCATATTCTGGTTTCTTACTTTTTCATAATACATTGTGATTGTGTTCCCATGTAAAATATATCCCTACAAAATTATATTTCTGTGTTGTATTACATTACATGGCTGTACCATAATTTAGCCAAACTTCTATTTTGTTTGACATAGATGATATGATGAATATATCTTTGCATATCTCTAATTATTTCCATAGAATAAGTTTGCTGGGTTAGGGGATATGTTTCTATGGCTGACAAATTGTCTTTCAGAAAGTAATACCCATTTCCATTCCCCTCAGAGGAGAGTGAAAGTGGTTTTTTCCTTCTCTGGTCAACTTTGGGCATTATCTTATTATTTCTGTTAATTAAAAAAATGTTTTTAAGGGACACCTGGATGACTCAGTTGGTCAAGCGTCTGCCTTTGGCTCAGGTCATGATCCCAGGGTCCTGGCATCAAGTCCGCATTGGGCTCCTTGCTCTGCGGGGAGCCTGCTTCTCCCTCTGCCTGCTGCACCCCCGGCTTGTGCACGCGCGCTTTCTCACTGACAAATAAATCTTTAAAAAAATGTTTTTAAAATTTTCATTTCTTAGATTATTAGTGAGGTTGGATTTTTTTTTTTCCATATACCATGGCCATTAATATCCCTTTATAATTTTCCTGCTAATTCCCTTTTCCCGCTTTTTTCTTATTGTTACCTTTTGTGTTGATTTGAGTGCTTCATTTATTACACATAGCAATAAATGTCAAAAAAGTAAAAAAAAAGTAAAAACTTAGTCATTTGTTTTTTTTCAAATTCCAGTATAGT